GCCACCTACTGGCAACAGGAAGTGCGCTGTGTGGTGATTTTGATCTGGTTTACATGAAATGTTCACGTTGTGGTCTGCACGTGTTACGCCGGCACGTGACGCAGCCACAGCACACCCTGTTGCATGCGAGGGCCCGTTCATCGCTGCTTGCAGTTTTAATTGATTGTTGAGTCTCATTCACAGGTTGTCAAATACAGATGATTTGTGGCCATGGGAAGTGGAGTCTCAACAAACAATTACCCTCAGGCCACCAACCCAAAGCCTCTTAATATCTTTCTCGGCTCTGATTGGTTGTTTTCGTTCAGTCATGGTGGATTCTTATAATACCATTAGTAGCACTAGGAGGAGCCAGAGGAACCTGACTTTTTCACAAATTATCTGTCTCATGTTCTACTGTCAGGATATAGTAAAAGTTTCAGTTTTTTTTTAAAGTTACCTACTGCAGCTTTAAGTGTGGAAAACACAGTTTGTAAAGTGTTACAAGTCCAAAGTGTTAGTCCAAACAAATGTGGTCAAAGTGGTCATTGTTAAATGTAGGTGGCATTAAATATTATTCTTCCTTTATCTTGTCGGCCTTTAGGTTCATTTATTTCTAAATCATGAAGTGGTAAAATAGACAGATATCCTTGGTTTGTTGATGTAAATCATCACACGGAGTCAGATTACATGTTTGAATTCATACAAAGGTGCTAAAACAAGTGCCCTGTTTGTTACTGTGCAGTTGAGTAAAAAGTCCATTAACAAAGCAGATAAACACAGACAGACACTGATGGCATAGATGTACACACATATCTTTTTTTTTTTGTCAGACATCAATATGAAAATATGCTGTTTATGAAACATCAAGTCCCTTATAGGTAAACTATAATACAACCACTCACTGGTGCCAGTCTCTGGTCCTCTGGTGGGCTTTTTGCAGTGTTAGGGAGCACACAGTTCATCAAGATGCCCCTGGAATATTTCCAAAATTCCAGTCTGGTGTCTGCAGGGCTGGAGCATTCAGTCCCGACCTATGAAGGATCCAGATGTGGACCCCCATTATATGGGAGTAGTGCCGAGGGACCCCATCTGAAGCAGGGTCTGACAGAAGGCGGGTGATAATAGGAGGAGATGACCTGATAACCAAGATCTTTCAAACAGTGTCCCGCATCAGGCCTCCTCTATACGGAGCTCCTCAGCGGGCCACAGCTCAGCCCCGCCCTCTAGCAGTCAGTTGGTACCGGCGCAGGTGCCCAGCCGGAGGCCGTGTGTTCAGCTCTACTCGCAGGCCGACACACTGCTGATCTTTCCTGTGTTTTCGGTCCAGGGCTGCAGGTTCTGCAGGGCGAACAGGGAGCTGTTCTGCAGGCACAGCGGGTCCGGGGTCACCGGCTGGTTGATGGTCTTCTGGAAAGCCTCCTGCTGCAGCTGCATGAGGATCCGGTTGGCCTGCTGTCGCTCCGCCTCCCGCTCCTCCGCCGTCTGCCGCCTGCAACAGCGTCAAGGAAACACTGCTCACACATGTAGGCTATAGTATGTGGGATATACTGCATATTCACGGTTTGCTTGGTAGAAGACAAAAGTTTGGTGTATTCCTGAAGTGCCCTCATACATTTGACGCTGTCACTCTCAAACCAGCCCCCCCTAAAGTTGCAGTGAATCTACCCATTCTGATCTTTATGGTAAATGCAGTGAAACGGCCCAGCAAGTCTTCTCACTTTCCAAAGATAAGTGTTGCAGCATGACTGTCTGTGGAAAACCGTTTAGACCATTATTTGTCTCCTTTTCTCTGCCTTTGATGTTTTACTGTTAATCAGGGGTGAAAGAAACTAATTACATTTAGGCTACTCTTGTTACTGTAACACAGTTTTTTTGTGTACCTGTACTGTAATTTTTACTTATTATTTTATTACAAGTGGCTTGTAGTGCTACATTTCAAATCACATCCAATACAGAGTAAAAACAAATGTCACATGAATGAACTGTGAGAATGAAACAAAAGAAAGGTGATACATGCAGAAAGGCAGAGCTCCAGAGAGCTCCATGTCCAGAGCAGAGACACTGCATTCAGCTTGACACAAGACATGTGTTCACCGTTCAACCACTGTTGGTTGAGTGTCAGTGGGGTACGGGGTACGGGGTACGGGGTACGGTCACACCTGGGCTGGAGCTAGCAGTTAATGAACATTACACAAATACACACCAGTGCAATAACATTGACATACCTATCTTAATTAACCACTGATTTAATGCACTTCCCATGAACATGCTAAGTGACCCAAATCGAACAAAACTGTTTTGTGTGACCAAAAGGTGGATGCTGGGTCTGGCTAAATGCTAAAATGCTCAAGGTGGATCCTCTAGCAGGAAAAAAAAGGTATGGTACATACAAAATGCATACATGGAAATACGATTGGATTGGATTATATTCCCAGAAAGAATAAAACATTTGTCCCTTACAAATTAAAAATTCCAAATCTATCAGATATTTACCAAGGAATAAATGGCAGGCATTCTAGCACAACCTCCACCAGCACACGCGTGGAGACACATACAACATTCACAAACGCCCTCTGCTGATTGTCGTGTGCAGGAGCATAGGGTGGTGTTTGCAACAGTGTTTAAAACAATATATTAACTGACGTATAAAATATCACACAACAGGGAAAAGGACACAAATAATGACCTTGTCAGCTTTCCATACTCCGACTACAAATAGACTCAAAATCAAGCATTTTTACTGTAACAATTTACAGAATTTCCAATATAAAATATTTCATATTCAGCCAAAGTGTTTGGTCGGGCTTGGCTAGTATGTTGGACTACATTTCTTTATGCCAGTCTTAAGTATCTATTGTCGTCCATCTACAAGATTCTAGTTATGTGAGACATTTATTTATCAGAATAAACCCCTACCTTTCCCACACACTGGCTGGCTCCTAGCATAAAATATGTAGATTATACTTACCAAGCCCAACCCAACTGGAACATTATAATTCTTTGGCTGAATGTTAAATACACATTTTTTGTGGACAGATGTGCTTTGCCACAATTAAACTAATATTTTAGCAAAAACATGTCACAATGACGCTTGCATAGTGTGGCTTTAATGAGTCTATATGTATGTCTTTGTTTGTTTGCTTTGTTGTTTTAAGTTTTTGTTTTGTTTTCTTGAACTTGAATATAACACTGTCAGAAACTATGGAGCAATGTGTTTGTATAACACTTAAAGTTTTTAGAAATCTAGTCATTTCAAGGTTCAAATAAGAGACTTTTATTTTGGAAATTCTCTAAATTGATACAGTAAAAATGATTTATTCATGACCTTTTCTGAAATGAATGAATGAATAATAATAATCTTTATTTATATAGGACTTTCTTAACAATGTTCCAAAGTGCTCTACAAAATAAAAATAAAACCCAAACAAGGCAGATAAAATAAAAATAAGCAACATGAGCACAGAGAAATAATAAGAATAATTATATGTCAGGATATTTCTTTTCTAGAAACCCCAAATCGATGAATACAGTCACAGTTTAGTGGAGGTTTTCATTTATAAGGGACAGGTACGGTGTCTCCTGTGAACATAATCCAATTAATCGTATCTATATATGTTTTGTTTACCCTGTGTTAGCACCTTAGCACCCATCAATTGCACTGTAGCTCTCTGTGGCCGTTTCACTGCATTTTACCGTAAAGGTCAGAATACCGGTGCAATCCAGCTTCAGGGCTTTGACCACGGAGATGCGACGGACGGCTACCGCAGCGGGTCAAACTGCCGGACGACACGGACTGGTTCAGAGACAGTGTAAGATACAGATCATAATAGATACTAACACACGACAGCGCCACTACATTGCAATCGACATTATTTTTCTCCGGACCAGTACATTTAGATGTATATTCATTGCACAGGATACAATGACCTGGGCAGCGTTTGTCACTGTACAATCTGTGAATTATTACAAAATCGAAAGCTTTATTATTGTCAACGAAAAATAAGCGCTAAAAACAGTGTTATAAACTCATTATTCTAACATTTGCAGTATAAACAGTCCAATAATTGAGCACTTCAAGAGAATAGGGGACAAAAATACTGAATTTGACACAAAATCAGCCGCTCCCTTTCTATCCAGTTTATCAGCTCCGTTTCAAAAACCTGAAAAGATCATTCTGTTTCTGCCCATCTTTCCTGTCACGTAAAAAAATATATTTTGCGGAAATTATGCACATTTCCAGGTATTATTAAAAAAAGATCAAATAATGCAAATAGCAATTGTAAAATAATAATGAAATAAATCTGAAATATCACAGAATTAACATTTTATACTGAAAGACGGCTCGACATTGTATTAATGGAATATGCTGAATAGATTTATAATATAAGAAATTAATTCGTAAGACACATCCAAATAGGTCTATAATGTGGACACATGTATTTATTTATTTACTGTATGAAAATGCTGATTTTATTTCTTTTATGAAAAAAGGGGGTTTTTACCTTTTACTCATTATCTTTTAAGCATATTTAATCAATTGTTTGTCAAAAATTACAGTGTAGTAAATAAATGAGCATTTTCTTCCTTATTTAAAACCAGCCACAATGTTTTATTTCTGCCTCACAGAAACTAAAATGAGCTATTTGATGATTTATTACTCCAACTGATGCTGTATTTACTCTATTGTCTCCTGGTGCATAAACAGGCAGTCTCAACAGTCACCAAATGTGTCCACACAGTCCATTTTAAGAGCATTTTCAGAATTTTATACACACAGTGCTCAGTTTATTCGATACAACTTTAGCTAAAATGAATGCATTCTAATCAACACCAGTTACCGCCTGCACTGTTGTAATAAATGAGTGAATATTTGATGCTGTGTAAAAGTGCATTGAACTGTCAGATAAGGGCACACAGGAAGATAGCAATGAGAGGGAGATGAAAACAGTCATTACTTAAAAGGATAAATTCCTGATATTGTGCTTATGACTATGACATAACAGTCAGTTAAAACCATTTTCCTCTTGGAGCCCTTTCAAAACAAGGGGAGGACCCCTGGCAGCCCTTGGGAACCAAATGGGCCTACAGCCGTCCATAAAGAATGCAGGGCCTCTTTGGGGGTTAGTGGCTCTAAAAATACCACAAAAAAAGTCTCCATCTGCTCTGTAGAGATAAGAAGGCATTGGTAAAAGAAAAAAATGAAACATGATTTCACCTCCATTTGGTGCGTCTGTTTTGGAACCAGGTTTTGACCTGGGCGTCGGTCATCTTCAGGGCTTTGGCGAGGGCGGCCCGCTCAGCCGACGCCAGGTACTTCTGCCGGTGGAACCGTTTCTCCAGCTCACAGATCTGCAGCCGCGTGAAGGACGTCCGAGGCTTCTTCTTCTTGGGAGGCGTCCGGTTCTGGTAGGGATGACCTACACGACGTGTTACAGTGAGGGGTGAGAGGGACACTGGACAGGACAGGACAGGACAGCAGGACAGGACAGGAAAGGAAAGGACAGCACAAGTCAGGACAGGATGGATAGGACAGGACAAGGCAAAGCAGGCTATGCAGCAGACAGTGAGAATGAGCTGGAGAGCACTGACAGAGCAGCAGCAGCGTGGGCGTCCTGCACGGTGCGCCCTCAACCTCCACAAATAATAGTCCATATTTAATCTCACAGGATAAAAATATAAACAGAGTTCTATTAAATACAGCATACTGTCTCTACCCGTGTTGTCCTGTAAACAACAATATATTGTTCCATTTATTTTATACCATTCATTAAACACTTTGGAGATGTGTGTGTGTATTTATTTACTTCTGCATAACCAAAGAACCTCTGCCCAACTTCTGTTTCTGTTTATATTCAACCCATGGCACATTCAAAGACCCTCGGACAATGTGTTTCCTGCATATGTGAAATGCTGGACTCATTTATCACAATAACTTATTACCCGACAGTACTGTGACAACAAGTCGGTCGGGTCTCCATGCTTTCATCTGACATTATATCGGTGTAGAGTACGAGCTCAGTGTGAATGGCTTCGGCTGTTTACATGGCGTTTTGCTGTAAGAGCTTAAAGGGAGCTGAAGTGGAGGCCAGCAGGCAGAGTACAGAGACAGAGACAGTAAGACTGCAGCAGGGACACATTACACAGCTCACTTTCTCCAGCACATCACTGACACACACACAAAATACCAAAATAACATGCCATTGTAAAATGTCCTACAACGCATGTAAAGAATACTAAATAGATAACTCTTATTGTTTTTAATGACTTCAGACTCACGTATAACTTCAATACCATTAACAGGCGTGTTCATTATCAATAATATCCCTTATTTCTTTGTTTTGTATTTGCTTTTGCATTATGAGTCGCTGTGTTGCACATTTGACCAGACATAGTTTCTTTTGATTATTGTTCTGCATGCTTATAAATAGGGCTGCATGGTGGTAAAAAAAGCCCATTGCAATTATTTTGACAGTTATTGTAATGTAATTCACGATTAGTGGGAATAATCATTTTTCTCAATCACAATTCTCTTATCACAATTTTAATTTTCACTGAAAAAACTTTTATTAAAACTATTAAAATCATTTGTAGTCCAGAGCTATTTCTCTCTCTTCAGAACTACAGTACTTCAATATAATGCTGT